GACATTCTGAAATTGGTGGGCTCGCATCTGCCGTGTGCACACATTTTGACCTCTCAATTCCCACATGTGAAGTAAAACGCTTGCTGTGTGTGGCAGGTGGCAACCAACTCATGACTGCCATCTATAGGACTGGAGTGGAACATTATCAGCGTGTATGGCAGTTTGAGTGAGACAGATTTGTTTTCGACCTTTCCTTGTTGCTCTTATGGTGATGTCCTCCTGTAAGGGAGCAGCAATGCCCTTCCGGAGTCAAATCGTTCTAATCGGATCACCGCGATATTGTATCATCGCAAGTATCACACTGCTCTATGAACTGAGAACAATGGAGCAAATCTGTGCTCTATTAGATTTGGAATCTGTGGCTGTGGCCTGTGTTTTCCAATATCTGTGCCCCTCTGGATGAGGATGAGGGACTCTTGTTCACAACAAACCCTGCAGTGTGAGAAAAAAAAAATCTGGAAAACAAAAACAATCACTGAGCAGAAACGCTCTGCGTCAGCATGAATTCAGATTGCAAATGAGCATGCGTCTTCATATTCTAGGGTGGCAGTGGATTATGGGAGGACCTTGAACATGTCTCAGGTCACCCTTGTAGTGTCCTCACTGCGGCTTTCACACCAATACATATGGCACATTTCGTATAGGTGACTCAGAGGTGTGAACGGAGGAGTGTTGAGGCGTGGAGGCCATGAAGGACATGGCGGCTGCCAACCTTAATCCTTCAGATATGGGATCAATATAGCCTTGACTGTTATAGTCGATGCAACGGGACTTTATTTATACTCGGGGAAGCCCTTTGTCTCATGAGCAACAAGTCTGTTGTTGTGATCCACTGGTGCATATTTGCTCACAAGGGGCATTTTAAGATGTTTTTGTCAGCAGTTGTTGGAAAATATAGCAGGTTGTTTGTGGTGAGAAGTGATTGCCAACTTTTTCTGTCTCTGCACCCCCCCCCCCTCCCATCTTGCTATATTTAAACTTGTTCTTATTAAGAGCAAACGTATCCTATTAAGGTTTGGCTCGGGCTCTAATTCGTTTTTTTTTTTTTTTATTCCCAAGTCCTTCGAAAAGTCTCTGTAGGTTGCTTCTTCAATTTGTCTCAAATGACCCAGGGGGAATGTTATGGTTTGCTCTGTTAAAACTATTCCCTCCCCCCCCCCCCCCCCCCCCCCCCCCCCCCCGACCCCTGTCTTTATTAAATGGTTCACCTCACGCTAACAGGGATGGGATGTCCCGGTTCCAAGACTTTTTGAGGGCAAGATTTTCCTTCTAAAATTGAGGATACGGCGGAATAGAGATTTGAACGCTTCCATTGTTTCATCTGCCACTTTGTATTATCTCATATCACAGCTTTTCTCTTCACACGCTTCCTTCCTCTTCCCGACAGCACAAACCAACTGGACATGTGCTGAAATGACTTTTCACAGTGTAAAGCTCACTCTATTACTGGCAAGGCCTCCGTCTGCCGCCTCAGCGTTCTCAGCGAGCCCGTGTTCTCCGAAACAAGGTCCCGATGTCCTCTTCCGCCAGCCAGCCCAGCGGCGTCCCACCCACAACCTGTTCCATTTTATCCCACCTTTGCATTGTTCTTACTGCCCTCCTTTATGTCTGATCCCTTTCTTGATCTCTGGGATTTTCCGCCGCTTGTCGTCGTGTTGGGCAGGAGGGTCAAGGTTATGCAACTCCAGGATTATTTCACTGGACAAATTGAGTCAGACAGGCTGAAACCAAAGAACATAGGCGCGGTTCAAACGCATTCCCACACAGTCGGTTAGAAGAGATCACACGGTTCGTTGTTGCGGCAGCAGCTGAAAGACGGAGGATGTGTCCAGTAGCTGTTGGACGCTAACATTATCATCTCCAGATTTGTGAATTTTAACCCTTTCATGCACCCTGTAACCTGATAACATGACAGGCTGTCCACTGTTGTAACCGCTGTCCCTGAAAGGGTAAAAGAAGATTCTCACGTCCACATCTTTGAACCGTTTTTTTTTTTTTTAATCTGCCAACTCTCACAGGTACAATGCATATTTGGTATCTATAGCTTTCAATGGCAGAGAGTGAGCTTTTTTTTTTTTTTTTTTAATAATATACCCAAACTTCTTTCCTCCTTTTCTGTTGTGGGAACTATCACAATTTTACTCCAAACTTAAGTGTGCTCCATGTTTTGAAGTGCCTTGTTGAAGGATTTTGCACTTCTTGTGTACTGTAGTGTACCGGCAGTGTCGCTCCAGTTTTGACCATGTATGACCATATCATGGTGCTTAGCCATTGGTAGCAAGCGTAGTAGTCCAAATACCATAGCTGAGTTTTATACAGCTGGCGTGGGATCAATTCTCACTCATGCGTTTTTATCATCACTCAGTGATTGACTGGCACAGATCATGGTGTTGCCCAGCTTTGACCCCGGCCATGCCCTTGAACAGAAAAAGCCATAGAGAAACTGCTTTTCGAGAAAACTCTTGTAAGAACAGTGTACACTCAATTGCTTGGGAGCTGATTTGCAAACGAGCATATTCTTCCGCAGTTTCACCCTGCTTTCACACTGCTCATAGTCGAGGCACAGATGACTGGCACCGGCCCGCTCCCCCCTCTGGCCCAGATCCCAAGCCCCTCAGATTCCCAATAAAGCCCCTCTGTCACGAAGGACTGCCGGGTCTAGTTTCTCTTGGCAGCATAATGTGACCGAATGAGAGCAACAAATGACGGGAGGGGATTGGCTAGTGATGAGTGACTAAGTTTTCTCGCATTTGCACACACGCATTCATTGCACAAGAAATGCATCCTCTAAGTTAATATGCCATATTGTTTCTTGTCAAAATCACGTCATCTTATGAGCGCTTGGTTTACGCCCATCTGTTTGTGATGTAGTGTTTTGCTGCCTTTTATCATTGTAGGCATGAAATCATGTAAAAAAAAAAGTTGAGATGATTGGATGTCATGTGTCTGTGTGTTGCCAAGAGACTCCAAAGAGTCACACACAAACAGACTGCTGAAAACATTTAAGATGGTGCCACAAACATGGTGCTAGAGGTGTGTAATATGGACCAAAATATATATCCCGCTGTAGTATTTTTCCTTAAAATTGCATCCAATCAACGGCAACTTTCCGGGATCTTTTCCCTTTTTACTGACAAAAGCATATTTTATATCGATCACGGTAGACAGCAGATTACAATGAAATAAAACTCAAATATCCAGTCGCTAAATAAATAGCATTGAAAATACCTCATCTTTTTATTCATAAACTTTGCCCAACAAATTCAGTATTTTTATGTTGACTAATTGCAGTGAAGGGTAGCATGGTGTTGAGTATATCTACCTGCTTTTTTTCCCCAGCTTCTGTCCACATTTCAAAAACATGGATGGTAGCTTCAGTGGAAATTGTCCCTCGGTGCAAATGTGAGTGTGAATGGTTGGTTTGTTCAAAGGGTGGCCGACAAATGGCTGGCAACCGGTCCAGGGTGTACCCCACTTTTCACCCAATGTCCCTTCCAGCTCACTTGCAACCCTAATGAGGAGAAAAGTGGAGAAACTAGATGGATAGATGAATGGGTTATCAAACACTCTCAGTTCTCTGTTGGTGTGAAGGTGACTTTGAATGGTTGTTTAGCTATTTGTACCCTGCAAATGACTGGCGATCAGTCTAGTGCTAAGCAGGGCTAAGGAAAGTCTTGATACTGTTTATAATAACTGCACTGCTCTGTCATTAGTTAAATACACACTACATGATGAATTGATGCCATGTTTAGAATGTAGGCCTGTGGGAGCCTTGATCAGTTTCAGCCTGTATATATACGGTATTATCCTCCTTGATATTACTGCAGTTTATTGAGGGTATGAGACTGCATGTACAGTATGCACATATACTGCTCCAAATGGTCAACTCACCAAAAGAAGCAGCACACAGTCTATTGAACTGAAGCAAAAAATGTTACATTTCTAAACATTCTATTTTATTATGTAATTATTGTATGTTTGCACAAAGTACAATATTAAAGAGTGCAATTTGTTGTATTAAAACACATTACTATCATTTGAGTTTTTTTTCTTGGTAAACTGGAACGGATTAATGGCATTTCCATTTATCTGAATGGGGAAAGATGATCTGAGATGTTTTTTTTTTTTGTTTTTTTTGCTGTGTCACTGAATGAATTGAACTCGTACCTGAAGGTGCCTCTGTATCGTGAGGTTCCTGTGGAAAGTATCACTGCCATTTTGGAAATAGTCAGTCGCGTTGCATTACATTGCATAGTGAGTGAAGTGAACTGCAGCAAATGTCCTAGTCACATCCTCACCTAAATGACCTCTACTGCATCCGCAACCACTCAGCAACAGAAGGCCATTGGAACACAGTTGTCACACTCACAGATTGTCATTAACACTTTTCCTCTCACCTCCTCCACTTTCCCACCACAAATGTTGCAGTGCTTTTTTTTTCTGTGAAGACATTGCAGCCACTAGACAACCAATAAACAGTACTTCTCAACCTCCTACTTGTAATGAACAAGCATCCTCTTAAAACATGATAAAGGGGGGATTATAGAGGAAGGTTTAAGGGTAGATTTGCTCCATATTTTTATTTTGGACATCAGATACAGCCTACTTTTGCATCCACACCTGTATCATTGCTCCTGTAAGTCAATGATGACATTTAAACGAGATCTTTGCCAAGACAAACGAATTGTATACCTTCAAAGTGCACCTTTTTGTCATTAGGATTCATGCATTATTTACTGTGAAAGCAGAACAAAAGTAAAATATCAAAGCAATTTGCTCCTGGCAGGATGTTAATTTATCCTGCCTGGACATGTTGAAAAGCAATGTTAAATGTGCTGTTTTTTTTTGGTGGGGGGGCGGTCAAGATTGAACACATAAATGTGCAGCTGGGCCTTTCGACATCCACTCCCTACATATGTGCTGGTATTTTTCCACTAGATGTAAGGAGAAAGATGAGAGTCCATTCATAACTCTATTTGTTTTTCTTTTCTTTTTTTCAGCCTTCATCTTACCAGCTTCTCCCATCCTCGTCACCTTTCTTCATCACCATGAGCCCTAATACCGCAGCTTGGAAAATTCCACACTGCAGCAAAGAGACGGGTGGCAGAGGAGAGAGAGAGAGAGAGAGAGAGAGAGAGAGAGAGAGAGAGAGAGAGAGAGAGAGAGCAAGAGCGAAAAGAGAGACAGAGAGATGCAGGTAGGATGGGGGTGGGAGGGACAAGATGAGAATTTTTGAAAATGGTAAACGATGATGTGAATGTATCGGCAAGATGTAAAGAGAGAACTAGTGCGGTGCTTGTGCGGTGCTGAATACGACCATATAAAGATGATGAGGACAAAGTAAAACTTAAGCCAAATACGACCCTTGATTATATTTCACCATAAAATTCATTTAAATAGCCCACAGCCATGTGCAAAAACAGGCACAAAAAGTAGGACGGCAAATTGCTGCAGGAAATAAAGTGCCCAGAACACAATGGGCAGAGGGTGAGCTGCATTTTGAATTTGCACAAAATGGGATGGAGGGGGAGACCGAGAGTGAGGGAGGGTGGAGTGATGCGGCTCTCTGGACGCACTTAAGCTCTGCAGAAACGTGCATCAATCATCACGTGCGTTGAGATTGAACAGAAAAGCACTGCAGTGCCCCAATACTGCTGCACCCCCACAAACGCAACTCGCGACGCTACAGCCTCATCCGCACTGTGAATCATGCCATAGCGACCACAGCATCAGGTAGTGTGCACCTGCACAGTTCAAAACAACATGCTCACTTGTGCCGCTCACACAAAATATTGGAAACACCTGAGTGCATCTGTAGTGTTCTATCCCGATGCAATGTAAATGTAACAGATTGTGACCGTATAACTGTCCACTGTATAAATATAAAGTGGATATAAAAAGTCTCCACACCCTTGTTCAACTGCCATGTTTTTTGTAATATAAACAAATGACACCAAGATCATTTCAAAACGTTTCCCACCAAACTGTGACATGTCAAATAAGCTGAATAACATGGCTTTTAATCTTTCAAGAGTGGAAAAATAAACAACTGAAATGAGGCGGGTGTACACACCCTCATGTAACTTGGATGTGGCTGTGTTCAGAATCAACCAACCACATTAAGACTCAAGTTAAATGGGAGTCAACAACTGTCACCATTTAAGAGGCTTCTGATTAACCCCAAATAAATGTCAGATGTTCGAGCAGGCTTTTCGTTACTTGTTACGAGGGCCACAGTTCCAGCTGAATGAAAAACAATTCCAGAGCATGATGCTGCCACCAACATTCTTCATTTTAGGTCTGGTGGGCATTTGGTTGTGTTTGCGCCAAAAAATACATTTTGCAATTACGGCCAAAAAGTTCGACCTTGGTTTCCTCGGTTCGTACCTAACACATTTAGCATTTTTCACCTGAAATTTATTTGTGGTTAATCAGAGGCACTGGAAATGTATTTTAACATGATTTTAATTGTGATTGGTTAATGCTTAAAAAATATTTAAAAAAATTAAAAAATCCCCATCCCCATTTATGAGGGTGTGCACACTTGTGCAACCACATAAAATATTTTCAAATGATCTAAAATTTGGCATTTGAGCAGGGATGTGTAGACTTTTTATTATCCACTGTATGTACAGTATATGACCTATTTACACCAAGCATGGATAACATCGGACGTCACAACTAAAATCAATCAGCCTGCCTGCAGGTCATTTTCCACACACATTGATTAAAATAACGGGCTGTACTAATATGTTATTGTGTGTGAGCGTGTGCTGTCCTTTGCAAGCGGACGACTGGAGCTGGCCAGGTGATTTGAGAGACGTGTGCGACCAACACTCATCCTCTCCATTATATTCATGTTTACTTTCTAAGACCTGTTCTTTTCATGATGAGGTTAAGGTTATTGTAGATAATAGTGGTGCTTTTTGGAGATGATCAAACAAAATTGATGACTCACAGCAGGTCGTCCAGGTCTTGAATGAAAAGGCAGCCCCAGAACATCAATCACACTACTTTACTGTATTCCGCACCTATATTTGAATATTTTTGGATTGTGGCATTTTGTTGCAGGTTTTTTCGATCTTTTGGTGGACTTCAGTTTGTCAGACAGGTTATAGTTATATGACTTCTTGATTGAACAGGACTGGAGGTAATCGGGTATGGCTCTGGTCAGTGGAAATGAATTAAATTAAGCCTTCCTAAAAATTTTATTAGCCGTGGTGAATTCTTGATTGAGCAGGTGGGGCAACTATTTTCAAATATAACCAAGCAGCTTTGAAAAGTTTTTTTTCACCTCCTTCAGAAATAAAATCCATCCATCCATTTTCCGATCCGCTTCTCCTCACAAGGGTCGCGGGGGGTGCTGGAGCCTATCCCAGCCGTCTCCAGGCAGTAGGCCAGCCAATTGCAGGGCACACAGAGACGAACAACCATCCGCGCTCACACTCACACCTAGGGTCAATCTAGAGTGTTCAATCAGCCTGCCATGCATGTTTTTTTGGAATGTGGGAGGAAACTGGAATACCCGGAGAAAACCCACATAGGCCCGGGGAGAACATGCAAACTCCACACAGGAAGGCCGTAGCCGGGATCGAACCCACAACCTCTACACTGTGAGGTCAACGTGCTAACCACTGCTCCAAAAAAAAATCCATCCATCCATTTTCAACACCACTTATACTGAATGATGTTACGGGAATGGTTGCTGGTGCCTATCCAAGCTGACTTTGGGCGGAAGGCAGACTGCACCCTGAACTGGTCGCCAATCAGTCGCAGGGAACATAGAGGGACAAACTCCGTCACTCAGTGGGAATCGAGCCCATGCCCATGAATGGATAGATAGATGGATGGATGGATGAATGGAAGGAATAGGGCTGCTGACATCTGACAGGAAATAGCGCTGACAACAATCAGCATTTTTAAAAACAATCAGCAACATCGTTCAGTTTCCTCATTCTCCAACATTGTGCACATTATATCATTGCATTTTGCATTGCATTTTATCGCCCATCCATTTGCCTTTGTCTGCCTCTGTGCTATTATCTTATTGGAAATACTGCTGAACTGGCTAGTGAATTATTTACTCTTGGGTCACGGTCTGAAATGTCAACAGCCAAGCTCTTCTTACAATGCAACTTTACACGTGTCATTCTCTATACCGTGCTAAACCGCGAAAGGAAACCATAATGCTTGCTACACAATTAGCGGCATTGTGTGTTCCTATTACCTGCAGTGTAACGTGTAGGGTTTCTCACTGTTCCCTTCTGTTTCGAATACAAAGAGAGAAGTACACTGATCCAGCAACGTGGATTAGTGTTTACACTCAGCTACTTCAACAAAAGCTCTGATCCCTCACAAACTCTGTGACTTGAAATGTGTAACTAATAAACATGCAGTTCGGAATTCTTTGTAAAGTACTTCCAGGAACTCCACCTCAGTTTTTGGATCAGAAATAGACATTTGGGGAACAGTTTATCACTCCCAGCCCACCATCATAACTCTTTAACTGTCAGCAACACCAGTGAAGCAATTTCTATTTTCTCCAACACAACAACATCCACCCTTTCATTTTCTGTACCGTGTATTCTAACTTGGGGTGAGAGGCCCTGAACTCTTCTGCAGCAAATCTCGGTGCACGTATGGATAAATCATCATTCACAGTCGCATAAACACCTGCCGTGAGACGGCACAGCCGTCTCCCATGTTCTGTCATCCAGCCCACCAAGCATTTACATTCGGAACAGTTGACATGTTTACTGGATTAACTAAAATGTATTTCTTCATTTATCTCATTAAATAATTGCGTTTATTAAAATAAATGTAAATGTATAGATATTTGAATACATGTTACTTTTGGCACAATAACAATCCAATTTCTTTTGAAATATGCGTTATTTTGCTAGCTACTTTTAAAACCCGGAAGTACGGCGGCGCCTGTTTCGCCAAAACCCCGCCTCTCACCGTGTGGTTACCGCACCCCTTTCATGACGTCGTCCTAAAACCGGCAGCTGCGCGAACCGCTCACCAAACCGTAAATAGTAATAAAGTTATATTGAGGAGCCTTATGTCCTCGATCCAGAGTCAAGTGGCAATCTTTGTACAGCATTGATGTACTGTACTATTCATCCCCGCGCACGGTAATGTGTGTCACAAGTAAGTTTGTTTTTTAAACAACAAAATACATCTGTCATATCGTGCTTGATAACGGGGCTAACGTTCGTGCATTTGTGTGAATATTATGTCACCATCTAGCTAGCGGTTTGGTTTACTTGCAGCTCTGGCCTCTTGGATTGGGCGGGGCTGATGTTTTGAGAGCAGGAATGCTCTGAGTTGGTTGAGTGCAGAACAACACTCCAAAAACACCAAATTTGGGAAGTGTTTTTGGTCAGGAATTAGCATTTTAACATTCCTAAAAGCTCAAAACAGTTGATTTTGCATGATGCAGGACACTCTTACGACTTGACCAGAAAACGCAGCCATTTTGAAAATGTTCTTTTTCTTTTCTAAGAGCCTCAAAACTCAACAAAACAATATGGCAATTACCAGGAATATAATTTTGCGGTTGTTTTTTGTTTTGTTTTTAACAATAGTTATGATAATAATTGTAGCTAAAATCTATTCACACAAGTGCCGTGCCCTCTGATCTATCAGGCTTTTATGTTCATGTACAAGTTTGTTACCAGTCAAAAGACCTTTTCTTCATAGATGAATTGTTTTTGTGCCTATCTGCTGTTAAGTAACATTTAGAAAACTTGGAGTGATCGTCTATGTTTTTGCCAGTGTAATTGGGTCTTTCATTTGAGAACAGTCTGTACTCTGTGTCAGCATACATCTGTTATGTGCATGCTCTTGTTACGTAAGTGCGTGAACATATACTGCTCTCTTATTCGCGCACACAAAAAGTATGCAAGCACAAGACCACACAGTCACACACTGAAAGCCACACAATTGGGAAATTCTGAAAAGCTGGACACAACAACACAAAGCCATGTGGAGGGAGGAGTCTGCACTCTTAACTGCAGGCCATGTTTACCCTTTTTTTCTTTTTTTTTCCCCTGATAAGACAAAAATGAATTTGACAGTCAGCCAACGGTGGTTA